GATACTCACCAACAAGCCTGGCTTGGTATATTTTAATGTACAGGATTTCTTAATGTTAGTAAAGTCCAAGTTATAAATTTTTCTTTTATTATCAGTACCTTTAATGTTGTATATAATATTTTCATATTCTAAGGTTATGAACACAACCTCCTATGATTTTTTCCTGCAAGATTTATTGTTTTACTTTTAACACTTAAATCTGTAATTTATCAGGAATTGATTTTATGTATGGTGTGAGGAAGGGATTAAGAATCACTGTTTTCCCATATGGATACCCAATTGATCATCATCATTTATGACAAGACCATCCTTCTCCCACTGCACTGCTGTTATTGTAAATGAGCTGATGGTACCTACCCAAGGTTAGACAAACAGACCAACAGAACGTGCACAGTTTGTTCCTGGAGTCTCCATTCTGTTCCACTGATCTATTTACAATACCAAGCTTTTAATTACTGTGGATTTATAATAAATCTCGACAGCTGGCAGCATAAGTATTTCAACTTGTTCAGATTGAAGACTGTCTTTGTTATTCTAGGTCCTTTTCATTTCCATATAAATTTTCAAATCAGCTTGTCAATTTCAATAAAAATATCTGCTAGGATTTTATTGAATCTACAGATCAGTTTGGAAAGAATTGAACTCTTAACAATATTGAATTTTTCAATTCATAGTATCTCTCCATTTACTTAGATCTTTCATTTATTTCAGCAGTGCTTTGTAGTTTCATTGGCTTGAAAATTCCTTGCTGGATATGTTCTCAGGTGTTTGATGTGCTCCAGTGTCATCATAAATTATTTATTTCACTACGGTTTGTTTCTTAGTGTGAAGAAATACAATTGAGGTCTAGGTATTGAGCTTGTATCCAGGGACCCTACTAAATTCATTATTATTAATTCTAATAGCTTACCTATAGATTCTTTTGGATTTTCCATATATACAATTACAGTTGACCCTTCAACAATGTCGGGTTTGAACTGCATGGCTCCACTTCTACATAGGCTTTCTTCCGCCTCTGCCACCCCTGAGACAGCAAACGCTCCTTTTCCTCCTCATCCTCAGCTTACTCAGCATGAAGATGAGAATGAAGACCTTATGATTATCCACTTCCACTGAGTGAATAATAAATACATTTTCTTCTTTCTTATGATTTTCTTAATAACTTTTTCTTTTCTCTAGCTTACTATATGGTAAGAACATAGTACACAATACATACAGTATACAAAATATGTCTTAATCAACTGTTTATGTTATCAGTAAGGATCTGGTCAACAGCAGGCAGTTAGGATTTTGGGGAGTCAAAAATTATATGTGGGCTACGGGCATGGTGGCTCACACCTGTAATCCTAGCACTCCAGGAGGCCAAGGCAGGAAAATCACTTGAGGCCAAGAGTTTGAAACCAGCCTGAGCAGGAGCCAGACCTTGTCTCTACTAAAAATAGAAAAATCAGTCAGGCATGGTGGCACATGCCTGTAGTCCCAGCTACTTGGGAGGCTGAGGCAGGAAGATCGCTTGAGCCCAGGAGTTTTGAGGTTACTATAAGCTAGGTTGACGCCACAGAACTCTACCCAGAGCAACAGAGCAAGACCCTGTCTCAAAAAAAAAAAAAGTTACATGCAGATTTTTTATCATTTGGGGGGCCAGTGGCCCTAACCCTTGTGTTATTCAAAAGTCAACTCTATAACATCTACAAATAATCAAAGTTATTTGCTATGGTTGGATGAGAAACCAGAAACTCACTCATGGGCTACGGAATGTGAGTTGAAATTGCATAGTTCATTTTCCAACAGAGCCTCAGTACTAATCATACGACCCCATCCAACTGCAAGGAGGCCGGGGCACGCAGAGAGCAGATGGGACATTTGTCCAGCATTTCTGTTACTTGAATGATGTCTCCAGTGTCCTGAGAGGGAACAACTGGCAACTCAGGATCTGACACCCTGTGACAACACCTTCTGCAAATGAGGCCCGAGACAGATTCCCTAACACGAAACTGGCTTTGCCCACCGCCCATGTAGGTCATCACCACCAAGCGCCTGTCCTTGGTGTCACTGGGCTTCACCCATGGAACAAGCCTTAACCCAGACAATGCCGTAGCACACTCCTTCCACCTCAGGGCACCAGGCAGCCACAGGGGGAAGGACACACAGGGGACTTGAGAATTCCGGTCCCTCATCTCCCAGACACAGAAAGGAGGACGGATGAGATGGGGGCAGGCAGGCTGGCAGGGGTGTTCGTGTTTGTCCAGATCCTCTTGCATCCTGCTTTCCTCTCCTGGACAGAAAGACAGAGCTCCCTGATTTTCTAAAGAAAGAGAGAGAGAAAGAAGAGGAGAGAAGTGAAGGAGAGAGACTAAGATTGACTAGTGAACATTTTGCCACCCAGCACTGGAACCACAAACTCACTTTCTCAGTCTCTCAGAAGTCAGAGTGAAGACGGGTGATCTGCTCCGGGCTGGAACTGGAAGCCGGTTTGGAGCTTGGAGCAGTAACTGGCGTGTCTTGATCCCCTGTTGAAAACAGTATTTTTGTGTGTGGGGGGGATAAGAGCAATTTATGAACATTATTTTCTGTTACTTTGTTTTGTTTATTCAACTTGTGTGTGTGTGTGTGTGTGTGTGTGTGTATAGATGTTAGACAAAGGGTTTGTCTGTAGGGCACATTTGTTATTCTCTTAACCCATTAATCACTTTTCCTCCATTTGGGGGCTCCCTGCCTTGCAGCTCCGGCTGGGGTGCAGCGCTTGCCCTGGCGGTGGCCGTGGGACGCCACCCCAGCCTCTCTCTAGCAGAGACTGCCAAACAGATGCAGCCGCATGGACCTGAAATCGCGAGCTCCGTCCAGAATCTATTCTGGGGATAATGGCGGCAGCGACATCCTGTTTCCAGAGCCAACAGTAGAAGAGGCTCTGGCAGTGTTTCCAGCACTGGTGACACTGGTGACATTGGTGCCGCAGTTAGAGGTGTCTGTGCCCAGCGGTGCTTCCCCCTTACCAATCTGCAGTGTGATTTGGGGTGTTGTTCCTGGGTGTGTTGTTTTGGATACAGGTTGTGTGTGGACCTGTTTTTCTTTCTCCTAGAGAGCCTCTGCAATGCCCAGTGCTCTCCGACACCCTGCTGTTCGGAGGGGCCAGTTTCGCTTCAGTTCTGTTGCTCGCAGCTGCAAGTGCTGAGGGTCTAGGAGTGTACTGGCTCCTCTAGCTGCAAAGCCCCGTGGTGGCTCTGCTTCAGGCAGGGCTGGTTCTAGGTGCTCTTTCTTGCTGTCCCCCTCAGGTCAGCTTTTCTCCAGGTGGTGTCCTTCCTGGGAGACCCTCGCACACAGTGGAAGAGACGGACACCAGAGATGGACGTCGTTCCCAAAGCCAGCAGCCCCAGAGAAAGGGGGATACATCTCCCCTATGTCTCCTGCCAAAGTGCTGAGGATGGCTCGGATTGGTCTCATTTGGGTCCTATGCCTCTGTCCCAAGTGACCAATGTGGCAGGGGTTCCCAAATTAGCATCTGAGAGCGTGAGTGTCACAGTAATTTTCCCACAGTGTCCCTAAGTCAGTGAAATACCTACTAGTTCAACTCCCAAGCGCTTAGGTCCAAGCGATTTGTGAGCCACCGCAGCCCGGTCCCGGGGCCGGCCGGCTGAGTCAGGCACCCACGCCGGGCGGAGGAGGCACGGCGCATGGCTGAGGGTCTCACCAAGTGCTGGAGCCACAGTCTGCCGGGCAAAGCATGAGAGGTGTATGCACCCCATTCCCGTTCCTGACGTCACGGTCTTGGCCGGCCTGTATGGCGGGTGGGAGCAGAGTGCGCGGGGCGGGGAGGGGGGGTGTAGGGGGTGAGTCGGCCGGAGAGCCAGCCTGGAGGACGGGACTCTGTGGGGTACGTCCCGCGCGTTTATGTGGCGCTCGGACCCCCAGCCTAACTCCAGTGACCTCACCTGTGAAAACAAGCCACGCCACTGAAAATGGAGGCTCACCAGCGGCCACGCCGTGACCCGGGTGGGCTCGTCCGGGAGGAGGAGGCCTTGGACGTGAGACAAGGGGACCACTGAGCTGCGCCCTCCTTCCTTCTTTTGTCCCAAATCCCAATAAGCAGATCGCTTTCCTTTGTAGTTCCTGTGCTACGAGGGTGAGTCCAGCAGGCCTGGAGTTAAACGGGGCTGTTGCGCTAACCTTCCTGCCTGGCACTGACCTTGGCCCCGGGCGGGAAGCCTGGTGAATAGCGTTGTTTTGCAAGCATGGGCCCAAGGCGAAGTTTGGGGTGGTTTGTACCGACCTGTCAGCATTGCTTATTGATAATAGTAAGATTGCTTGGCTCTCGGTCAGCCCCTGGGGGCTCTGCCATGGGGAGGCTGGTGGTGTAGCAGGAATTTGCCTGTGTCACCAGCGAAACCTAAAATCCCCAGCCAGGCTACCTTGGGCTCCTTGGTTCTGAGCTGATGTGAGCGCCTGTCAGGGGGGCCCTACCTGGCAGAGGAAGTGCATTCTGCCACGGGCATCCGGAAGAGAGGACTGGAGGGGCCCAAACCTGCCCCCACCAGCCCCCTTGCCACGAGCCAGCCAGGCTGTGACGCACGTTTCACTCGCGCCCGGGTGCTGCCCATCCCCCCTTGCCTGCGATACACGCTAGCTCTGTCAGCACTGTCATTCCGGGCCCTGTAAATCCTCGTCAGCAACCAAGTTCCGACTAACTGCCATTGTCAGTGAAGATCCTGCCGTAAAACCAGCCCGATTCTGTCTAGTGGGGCAGGAGAGGACAAAGACGTGTCAGTCTTTAACTTCTCAAGCGAATCCAGGTGTCGCTCTGCTCACAGCGGATTCATATTTAAAATGTTGATGGACACGGCCACGCTCACACTCCCACCGGCAGCGCGCAGGGAGGCCCGTGCACCACACCGGCGTCCAGAACGGAGGCACTGAGTCATTTTGATTTTTGCCAGTCTCAGAGATGAAACATTTGATGTTGTCGCCTGAGCACGTGCTTGGCAAGACCAAGGATGGCAGGGCAGGGACTTGCTCAGGAGGTCACCTGAAGCGTGTGGTCCCTGCAGCCCCTGTGGAGCAAAGAATCCATTATTCCAGAGGAGACGAGGGCAAGCCAGAACTTGTGGCTAAAATACTATAAGAATATTTTAGTTTGGGGTCGGAAGTACATCAGCATTCAAGATTCATCCTTTTAACATTTAAGGGAACTCTTCCAAAGCACAGGTACAGAGGTCTGCATTCTACTTCTTGCTCGAGTTTCAGTGCAATGAGGCTGGCCGTGGCCTGCCACACCTATTCAGATCCTTGGTCCATTTCCTTTCTGATTGCTTATACTTTTTTTGTTATTTTTTAGAAGCTCTTTATTGTGCATATTACCCCACGGTCTGTTACATGTGCTACAAATATATTCAATCATTTGCATTTAATTTTGCTTTTAATTTTAATTGCACTTAATTTTGCTAGTGTTTTCCTCTATTCAGAGCTTTAAATTTTGACATAGTCAAACATTTTCCTTCAGGTACCTGGATTTCATGCCATACTAAGAAAGGCCTTTATTAATCCAACATTATAAAAATATTCTCCTATATTTTCTTCTGGTATTTTACACTTTTACGTTTTACACTGTCAAATAAAAAGTGATGCTAAACATACTCTATATTTGTATAGATATATGTTATTAATATGCATTCCAGAAATTGTATGAAATTCTCAGAAATCTGATATGTCCTGGTATACAGTTATTAGCTATAATTCTAGTTGTGAGCTTAAAGTGTTGCATACCACAGAAATAACAACATTTCCTTATGAAAGCTCAGATGAACTCTCATCAGATCTTTAACCACGGCCATTTAAAGGTTTCTGTCATACACAGGCAGGTATTGTTTTACTCTGAGGCTGTCTTGAAGACTTTCGCAAAGAGCTATGATACAACATTGCAAGAGATTCATAAAAAGGATTCAAACACGTATACGTTTCTGATCATTTTAACATCACACCATTGAGCTGGGGTTGTTTTTAGCCTTACAGCCCCGCAAACTGAGACCAGGTGACTACTATGCCAGCTACTTCTATGTCAGTAAGTCAGGAACAACAGCCCCAAACCATAAAGAGCTCAAAGATCAGATCCAGGTATGCCACCAGACTTGGGAAGAAGAGTCAGTTGATCTATTTAGCTGGTTAGATCTTGGCTCTTGGGGACCTTGGTTTCACAAGAGATTCCCTTCCATGAAACCCCAGGGAAGAGGCAAGTCTCTGGACAAAGGCCTGAAATGGCCACAGTAAAGCAACTGCAATCAAAACAGCACCGCTGCTACCTGACGGTCGCACTGTCTCTCCACGCGTTACTCAGTGAATCCCCCCGGCGATCACTGAGGCGTCCCCCACGTTGGGGGTGAGCAGGCGGGCAGAGGCTCCTCCAGTTCCCCGAGGCTGCACAGCCAGTGAGCGGGAAAGCTAAAGCTGAACCAGGCAGCCCGGCCTCAGGGTCCGTGCTCCGGACAAACTGTCCATGACGTCAGGGTTGGCACAAAGAGATTCTGGGAAGGGAAGAAAGGAAAGACACAGAATTAGCCAGGTGGTCTCGCTGGTGTCACCTCCCGCTTCCCTACCCTCTGCACCTTTCCGTCCTTCTCCCAGTGGCTCCTTTTCCCTCTACTTACTTTGCCCCATGCACAAAAATAAATAACCTTTCCTTGGGGCTCACGGAGTCCCAGGACCAAGTCTCCGGGGCAGAACAGGCCAACAACTGCTCGTTGGTAACAAACAGGCGGGGAGGAAGCACGCGCAGGCCGTGTTTGGACGGAGCCAGCCCAGGCGGGGCTGGGTGAAGAAGCCTGGCGAGGCAGGCACCGCTCCGGGGCTGCGCATCTGGGCCTCTCGTCAGCCTCCCCCGCCCCTCCCGGCCTCCTTCCCGCTGTTCTTCCTGGGGACTGACGATGCAGGTGCATTTCTCCTGGCGACGAGATCTTAGGGCTCTGCAGGGCTTTGATGGAGAGCCAAGGCCTGTGAATGGCCTCAGGCCCCTGGCACGACGGGCTGGGGTCTCCCAGTGTGCAAAAGGCAGGTCTTCCTGCCTCCCAGCCCGAGAAAGGTGTGTCTGTCATTGTGTTTTTAATTTGCATTTGCCTAATTACAAACCACACTCATGCACCGTACAGTGACATTTCAGTCAACAGTGGACCACGTATACAACGCTGGCCCCATCAACTTATAATACTGTATTTTTACTGTTCCTTTTCTATATTTAGATGTGTTCAGACATGCAAACACTTGCCACCGTGTGACAGTTGCCTGCAGTGTTTGGTACAGTCACACGCCGTGCGGGCTTTATGCCGGACAGCCTAGCCGCGTGGCGGGTCACGCCGTCCAGGTGTGTACAAGCCCGGTCTGAGATGTTTGCACGGAGATGAACTCGCCCAACGACGCGTTTCTCAGAATGTGTCCCTGCCGCTAAGCGACGTACGACTGCACTAATGAAATGAGCCTCTTTTCAAATATGTGACTGGCCATCAGGTGTCCTCCTGTGCGCAGCGTCCATGGAAGTTTCTCGTCCATTTTTCCACTGGGCGATTTGTCCGTCTCTTATTAATTGCAGGAGTTCTTTATAGTTTCTGTACACGGGCCTTCCGTTGGTCAGGGACCGTCCGGTAACGGGCGAGGAGGGGGAGGCTGGAGGTGGGCAGGGGCCAGTCTTGCAGGCCTTAGAAGCTGTGGCAAAGACCTGACCTCCTCTGCAAGCCCTGGGGACACGGGCAGTGTTTCTTCCCACCGACACACTCGGTCTGCCCTGGGACCGGCAGTGTCTCACCGCTTGGGAGTTTGGTTCAAAAGACAGGATTGCGGGCCCCGTCCCAGACCTCCTGGAACAGTCAGCAGTCTGACAAGATCCCAGCGAGTCACGTGCCCATTAAAATCCAAGACACGCTGGCTTGTCAGGAGGCTGCAGGCTCCCCTCCGCGCTTCACAAACTGCACGTGAGCCGAGGGGCCGGTGGGGCGGGGCTGTCCGGCCACGGTTCTGTTCCAAGGTAAACACGCTCTTTCTTCTGAACCATCCATTACAAGAGTGTTTTGGCGAGAAGCCCCAAATACTCCAGCGACTCCCCCGAGTGGCCGTCTATATATGGAGCCGGCCGCGGTCGGCGGCAGCCGGAACCCCTGGAAACCGTGCTCAAAGCCACCTGGGCGCACCTGCCCGGGACGCCAACGCCAGAGAGTCACGTTTCGGGGACCCAGCGCAGAAGCGAAACGAGGACCACGCTGCGCCCACACCGCGTGAGCACAGTGTGGCTTCAAGTGAGTACTTCTGCGAATGAGCCCTCACTTCCTTGGCCGCAGCGTGCCGGCAGCGCACACACACGGACTTCAGAAGGCTGTCTGGAGCAGTAAGTGGGAAAACGGGCGCAAAGTCTTTTTTAAAAAAAATTAAATAATACGGCAGTCAAAAACTAGTTTGCATGGCGGTTATCCTGGGCGGTGAAGTCAAAAGCGACTTGTGTTCTCTTCCTTTCGCTCATCGGAAGTGTCTACATTTCCTATGATGAACATAGAAAAGTATGTGCATGTAGGTTTTGAATAAAAAGCTAAAAAGGCATCACCGGTATCAGTTTCTAGATAAATCTTAAAAAGTCAATCTATGATATCATTGTGAATCAAACTGTCTTTTTTCCTATGCTCCCAAGAACTACTGGCATGCCAGAAGATTATACTAAGATTATACTAAAACATCAAATTTTCACACACGGACACAACCGCAGTGCTCGTGAGGGTTTCCGTCGTTGGGGCTTTTGTCGGTGCCGCGTGGGATGGGAGGTCTGAGGTCAACTCACTTGGCCGCGCAAGACAGCCCTCTGTCGTATTTAAAGTCTGATAACTCCTCTGGACTTGTCCTGGCCACCAAGCCTGGGGACGGAGGATGCAGGTGCATTTTCACTGGTACAGTCGCCACTCTGTGACCGTTTTCCTGGGGCATGGTGTGCTCTGTCACGTCCAGAAAGAGTTCTTGAAGTTTATCTTTAAATATCTGTTCTGTTCGAATTTTTCAGTTTTCTTCTCTGAGGATTCCAATTAGCATATGTTGGAATTAGCAACATTCCAACTTATTCCTTATGTTTTTGCTGAACATTTTTAGCATTTATTTTCACTTCATTTTGCTGACTTGTCTCTGTCTTCTCTGCAGCTCTCACTTAAAAATAAAACAGTGTCTGTTTTCTCTCTTGTGTAAAGTCTAATGAGCGTTTATTTTTGCGATGACTTTTCCCTTCTCTGCTTTCCTAAGTTCCACCAGCTTCCTTGTGTCTCCCCCTGCTGCCTGGCCCTGTCTTCTCTGAGCCCGCGTAAAACGCGTGGTAGAGGGAATTGCTCCACTAACCTTTTAAAAAACAATCCTTGGCCGGGAGCGGTGGCTCACGCCTGTAATCCTAGCACTCTGGGAGGCCGAGGTGGGCGGATTGCTCGAGGTCAGGAGTTCAAAACCAGCCTGAGCAAGACCCCGTCTCTACCAAAATATAGAAAGAAATTAATTGACTAACTAAAAATATATATACAAAAAAAAATTAGCCGGGCATGGTGGCGCATGCCTGTAGTCCCAGCTACTAGGGAGGCTGAGGCAGTAGGATCGCTGAGCCCAGGAGATTGAGGTTGCTGTGAGCCAGGCTGACGCCACGGCACTCACTCTAGCCTGGGCAACAAAGTGAGACTCTGTCTCAAAAAAAAAAAAAAAAAAAAAATCCTAATTTTCATCAGCTTTTTGGCAACATTTTTCAGGTGAGTGTTCTTTATCTGCCATTTGTTTTTAGTGTTGTTGCTGTCTTCCTTTTTGTCTTATAACATACAGGCTACACATTTGAACTGCAGTAAAATATATATAACCTGAAATTCGCCAGTTTAACCATTTTTAAGTGTACAGTTGAGTGGCATTAAGTACAGTCACACGGCTGTGCAACCACCACCACCCTCCATCTCCAGAACTCTTTTCATCTTCTTAAACTAAAACTCTATACCCATTAAATAATAATCCCCCCATTCCTCCTGCACCTCCGCCCCTGGGAACCACTCTTCTACTTTTTGTCGTTGTGAATCTGGCTACTGTAAATGCCGCATATGAGTGAAATGATACGGTATTTGCCGGTTTGTGACAGGCTCGTTTCACTTAGTGTAATGTCTTCGAGGTTCATGGGCGTTGTGGCGTGTGTCGGAATATCATTCCTTCCCAGGGATGAACATCTCATTCTGTGTGTGTCACCTTTTGCACATTCCTTCCTCTGCCAATGGCCATTTGAGCTGTCTCCACATTTTAGCGATTATGAATAGTGCTGCTTCATAATCCTGGGTATACAAATATCTCCGAGACCTGCTTTCAGTTCTTTTGCATATATATATGTATATGCAGAAGTAGAATTCCTGGATCATATGGTAATTTTATTTTTAATTTTTTGAGGATTGTTTTCCATTCCACCAACAACGCACAAGTGCTCCAATGTCTCCACAATCTCACCAGCCTTTACTGTTTTCTGCTTTTTCATTTTTGTGTTTTGATAACAGAGATCCCCATGGGTGTGAGGTGGCATCTCACTGTGGTTTTGATCTGCATTTCCCCAATGATTGGTGATACTGAGCATCTTTTCATGTGCTTATTGGCCATTGGTATATCTTCTTTTGAGAAATGTCTATTTATGTCCTTTGTCCATTTTTTAATTAAGTTGGTGGTTTTTACCATTGAGTTAATACTTTTGTGTGTAGACTTTGTGTGGGTTGCTTCTTTCATGGACCAGCTATTTTTAGGCTATTAAATAGGAAAAATGCCAGACTGTGTTCTAGGCTAGCAAAACCGTTCTTTAGGACCTGGGCCTCCTACCTGAATTTTTAGTCTGTGCTTTTCTCCGGCAATGGAATTGCTGGTTTTCAGACAGTCTGCAACGTAGAGTCTTGTCTTCTCTCTGCCTCAGACACGGCCTATCTCCCTGTGCCCCCCATTTTGTCCTCTCCTCACTGTTTTGGGGACAGGCACATCCACTGCCGATTGCACACCTGCGTCTGACTGTTTTAAATGCGGTGTTTTATTTCCACACATTGGGGATGTCCCTCACCTTGAAGAAGAGCATTTCCCCCCAGATCTGCAGTTATCAGCGTCCTCTCCCCTCTTCCTCCCAAAGCCCTGCTCCTTCCTGTCGCTTTGAGCAGCCTTCTATTCTATTTCATCTATCAATATTTTCCTTAGTTTCTAACGCATGGTGTTCATATCATTTTCCTTGCTGCTTTTGGGTAATTTCCAAGCAAAGAGAAATTGATAACTTTCATGTTCAAACCAGCAGTCCCTGCAAAAGTTTCTGGGACTCATGGTATCATGATGGAGGTGGGAGAGAGGCTTGACGTCAGGAGAGACATGCCTGGGTCCCTCCCTCTCTGGCAGCTTCCTGCAGGCTGTTCCTAGCCCTGCACAGCGCTGGTGCTGCCCTCTGCTCCCGCTCAGCTCGCTGTCTCCCGCCCTTGTCACCTGTTTCCCAGCCCTGGGTGGCCAGGCCTCAGCGCTTCATGACGCGCCAGCCACTCACTGCTTCTCTGGATGACCGTGGGACTGTTTCCTTCTTCATCAGGGTGAAGCTGCGTCTCTTCCGGCCCAGGACTCACTGTCACCTGCAGAGAGAGAAGCGCCAAGGGGTCTGCAGAGACGCCATGACTGCAGCACGGACCGAAATTCACCCAGGTAGCCCTCCCGGTTCTCAGCGAATTCCTTTGACCCAGCACAAGGTCCCCACCTACAATGGGGGGCAGGTGGGACTCGGGGCCCCGAGTGTGGGCGGTCGCAGTCCCCAGCGAGGGCAGCAGCTAAAGGCCCACCCTGCCCTGTTTCCCACACGCAGCTGGCAGCCTCTCGCCCTGGGCCCCCACAGCGACTGCGTTTTATGAACCCCGCATCAGGACACATATTCGAATCAGAATGCGGTACCTGTGCTGCCCCTCTGGGCCTGCAACTCTCAGCGGGTAGGGTGTTGTGGCCGGTCTGGGTGTCGTTGTCCGGCTGTGCTGTCGGGAAGCCCGCAGGCGCCTACGTTTGTCGTTGGTCGTGGTGTGCCCCTGCAGGAGACATCAGAATGACACACAGTGGCCAACAGTGGCAACAGGAAGGGACACCGCATCTTGCCGTCCAGGCATGGCTTGAGGGTTAGGGCTAGTGTTAGTGTTAGGTTAGGGTTAGGGTTGAGCCCCCAGAGCAGGGCTCTCTGGCACAATGGACTTAATTTGTGCTTTAGGTCCGAGAGCCTCTGAACCAACAGACACCAACCAGAGGGGCGCAGCGCCCTCTGTGGGACACAGGTGGCACAGCAAGGGGAGAGGGCGGCTCCTTCCTCACCCTGGTCTCCTGGTGGCAGGAGATACATTGTTTAACTATCTCAACCGTAATGGAATAAGAAATATGATGATTCCTGGAACAGCTATGTGGCTGATAAAACATAAATCAGGGTTCTGTTTTACCTGTAATCCCACGTATAACTCACCCAAGCCCCATAGAAAACACGAGCCCCTTTCGTGGAGACCCAGGCCCTGTGGGGGGTGGGTCCCCACTCCCACCATTGGATCGTCCTGGCCCTGCTATGCCCAGCCCGGCTCACTCCCTCCTCACCTGCTCCCAAAATACAGTCAAGTAGAGTCACCTCCCCCGGATCTATGCTAAGCTGGTTAAGCGAAAGAAACACAAGGTTGAAGAATATTCTCAATTTTCTTTTTAAGACAGGTCTCACTTTGTCACCCCGGCTAGTGTGCAGTGGCATCATCATAGCTCACTGCAGCCTCCAACTCCCAGGCTGGAGTGATCCTCCTGCCTCAGCCTCCAGAGTGGCTAGAACTACAGGTGTGCCCCACCACACCCGGCTAATTTTTCTATTTTTTGTCAGAGAGTTGATCAGGATTTTAAACATAAAGAATTTAGTGTCATGAACTATGAGAACTTATTCCAATGTGTCGCTAGTATCTGTCATTTACCAGGTCCAGAGTGGGCAGGAATGCAGAGGTAAGACACATCTCTACCGTCAAAGTAAATTCCAGGCAGTCACTTACAAACCTCTCCCCGCATCAGCTGAATCCTCTTCACTGCACCTGTCTCTGTAGGATATAGGAGGAGAGCAAAGCAATAAAAAGCAGAATTTCTAAAATAATGTGACAAAGTTGAACAATTATGACAATAACAATAATTAATATGAGTTATACATAGCACTGATAGGAGTATCAAACTGGGTAAAAATCAGATTTGAATATTTTTCTACATACAAGAGATATGCTGAAATAAATATGACACAAAAGGCTAAAATAAGTTAGAAAAACTTATACATGGAAATAGCAACAAAAAAGAGGACAATAGAATATTTAACAATACTAATTTATCAGACATAAATTAGTCTGCTTGTCTTGCTATGTGCTTGGCAGCATTTTCTGCACTAAATGCACTACAATACAAGCTGGAAATTTTATAATGAAAAAGAATGAAAAATGAAGACATCTCCCCAGTTAAATTGCTTTTATTCTATTGGTTTCTATTATAAAAGTAACACATGATTATTGTAACAAATCAATAGATCATCTATCAAAAGACAGGTGAGTGAAAATTGCAAGTGCAAGTTTTCCGTCCCCCCAGCCTCCAGGCTTCCCTCTCCCGAGCTAGGCCTGCTCACCATGTGGTGTTTCTCCTTCCAGAATTTTCTCTTAGTCCTACATCACATGTATAATAGTTTTTAAAAATTGAGGCTGGGCATGGTGGCTCACACCTGTAATCCTAGAACTTTGGGAGGCTGAGGTGGGAGGACTGCTTGAGGCCAGGAGTTGGAGATCAGCCTGGGCAATATCGAGACCCAGTCTATACAAAAAATAGAAAAATTAGCCGCGAGTGGTGGGGCACACCTGTAGTTCTAGCCACTCTGGAGGCTGAGGCAGGAGGATCACTCTAGCCCGGGAGTTGGAGGCTGCAGTGAGCTATGATGATGCCACTGCACACTAGCCGGGGTGACAAAGTGAGACCTGTCTTAAAAAAAAAAATTGAGAATATTCTTCAACCTTGTGTTTCTTTCGCTTAATCTATCCTGGACCTCTTTCCAAGTCAGTTGCATACAGATTTGCCTCATCCCTTCCTGTGTCCGCAAGCCTTTATTTTGTGTTGGTCTGTAAACAGTCCCCCGACATGGGTGTTTCAGATGGTTGCCCTTCCTTTATACCCCTTCAAATAACTGGATGGACATCCTCACACATGTTTCCCTGTGTACCTGCCATTGTGCTTGTGCAGGATGAATTTCTTGAGGTGAGATGCTGGGTTTCAGGCCTGGGTACTTGTTATGTTGAGAGATAATCCAAATCTTCCTTCCAAAAGTTTTATCATCTTGAGCTCCAACCAAGAGTCTGTGAGCGCATGTTCTCCTCTCTTTCTACCAACACGGGATGCTTTCACTTTTTACTTTTGCCAGACTGATCAATGAAATGGTATCTGACCATGATCTAAATTTGCACTTGGGGGCTACTCATGATGTTAAGTATCTTGTCCTATGTTCATTGGCCATCACACATCTTGTATGAAACACCTGTCCAAAGAACACAAGAAATAACTGTCTATAGAAAATGAGAACCAAGTGCAGCTCAAAAAGATCAAGGACCTTGCTATGGCTTCTTAAGTCTCTTCAAGAAAGAATACACATGGGGGAGGGGTGGCAGAGACAGGTTTCCGGCATGGGGAAGAGAAATGGAGTCCCGTTTATTAATCACATTAAAAACGTAAATTAAAAAAAAAAATCAAAAGCAGTCCATGTGGCAAACAAGGAAATTTGCAAGTTTCCCGTTCCAGGGTGTTACCTGGTAGGTTCTTTTAAGCTTTCAGAAAACAAGCAATTCTCATGTCATATAAATTGTCCCAGAAATCAAAAAACACAATGTTATGGAGTATGTTCTATGAAACAAATATTAACGCTAATGAGAAACTTTGATCACAAGGAAAGAAAATTATAGCTCAATATCATTTATTACTCTAAGATGAACATTTTGAATAAAATACTAGAGAATAAAAATCTATAACATACTGATTTGAAAACCTGCAATGACCAAGTTGGTATTTTCATGGAATGCAAGGATAATTCAATATATGGAAATTTATGCACATAATATGCTATATGCACGAATAAATAAGAAAGGAAAAGTATAATCATCTCATTAGAGTGTGGAAATTCAGCACTTAATCCTCATAAAAATACTTAAGTGTAGAAATAAAACATACTGCCTTACCATGATGAGGAGTGACTTTTGTAAACCAACTGCCAACAGTGAAATATTAGAGTCCATTTCATAATATAAAATCATTTAAGAATCCAAGCTAACCTGATAAGGCATGGAACCAAACTAAGAAAAATAAGTATTGAAAACAATCAGCAAAAAAACCTCCAGCATTACTGATTCATGAATGCTTCATTCAATAACTATTACATTAATAAAATTTTAGCCAAGCACAAGAGGAGTATTAGAAATGAATAATCTTTCTACAGAGTAACAAAACAAGTTAGAAAACATTACATTAAAAGATACTATTCATGATAGCATCAAAATAATTTAGGATACCAAGGAAATAAATGTTATCAGGAAATTTAAAGAGGCAACAAATCTTATTTGAAAGAAAATGGAAAACTTGGATTTCCGGGAAGCCCTCCCCTGTTGCTGGGGAGAAATGTGGCAGATCCGTGGCTTTCATTCAGGGATGTAGCCTGAGACCGTCTCAATTGCCCATAATTGCAAATACTGCAGCAGCAAATAACTTCCTTTCTAAAGCTTAACCAACAACGTAAGCAATTGCCCCGGCCCTTGATGAAGCAAAGCAAAGCAGGGATGGGGTGTGGGGGTGGGGCACAGGAGCCAATCGTTGGTTCCATCACGGGTCAAACTGGAGGTAGCACACAGGACAAGGCAGTGACATCACAAAGAACACATATGGATGACGATAGCATTAAGACCCCAGGGTGCCATGAAAAGGAATTTTTTGTTGTTGTTGTTAGAGACAGGGTCTCCCTGTGTCTCCCAGGCTGGAGTGCGGTGGTGCAATCACAGCTCACTGCAACCTTGAACCCCTGGGCTCAAGGGATCTCCTCCCACAGCCTCCCAAAGTGTGGGGATTATAGGTGTGAGCCACAGCAGCTGGCCAGAAAGGGCGTGTTTCTGTAAACAGGATGGTATATCTCTATAGAGTCATCAAAAATAATAATAAAATAAAAGTAATAGTTATGACAGCTATATAGGAATATGGAAAATACTAGTATAATACTACATTTTAAAAATAGGACACACGATTATATGTCTATTTTAAATGTAAGAGCCATGTGAAAAGGAATATGCATTTGAAAAATAACTGGAAGTGAAGAATAAAATTGATAGTTATGTTGTGGTAATACTGGGGATGATTTTTGTCAAATTATATTGAAAATACATTTACATTTAAAGTAATTTTTTTTTTTTTTGAGACAGAGTCTCACTCTGTTGCCCAGGCTACAGTGCCGTGGCGTCAGCCTAGCTCACAGCAACCTCAAACTCCTGGGCTCAAGCAATCCTACTGCCTCAGCTTCCTGAGTAGCTGGGATTACAGGCATGCGTCACCATGCCCAGTTAATTTTTTCTATTTTTGGTAGAGATGGGGTCTTGCTCTTGCTCAGGCTGGTCTTGAGTTTCTGAGCTCAAATGATCTGCTTGCCTCGGCCTCCCAAAGTGCTAGGATTACAGGCGTGAGCCACTGCGCCTGATTTTTGAGCAACAAAAGAAGCGCAATGTGAGAAAGAGTGTTTAAATCCAGGTAACTGTGATATTGCCTCCTTGGTTAAAACGAACTACCGACCAACCAGTGAGCACCTGGTCCCCAGGAGGGCTTCGTGGGGACCGGGCTGCGCCCTCAGGACTGCAGACAGCAGGGGGTAGACAGGATGACCGAATATCAGTCACATGCTTCCACGTTAATGGAGTTATACATAACACCTCCCTGATCGTCTTTGTGCCGATTCTTGGGTTACTGGATGGCTGCCGGAAGACTTTTGTGACTAAATACGCAATGTCAGAATTTTCAAAGCACTTTACAAATTTATTTTGCCACTGAAGCCTAAGAGATCACCAGTTTTACCATTTCCTGGTTAACACTGGGTATTGCCATGGTCTGTTTGGTGAAAATCATTAAACGAACATGATGTGAATTTTTTGAGACATTAAGATTTTTGATGAATTTTAACCTTGCTTATTTTTAATTCCCAAATATTATAATTAGACAGCCTACTCTACCAGAGCATTGCTCAGCCTTTTTGGGCCGAGATGACCAGAGAAGAAATGTTCTGGCTCCTCTGTCACCCACAGGCTTGGGAGAAGATTATGGAGAAATCTGATTTGGAAAGGTAATTGGGAGCATGAGGTCTGGGGGACGTCACTGGAACACTGTGCTCACAGCCATCACCCTGGCCTCTAGAACAGTGTCTGGCACAGACCCGGCACTCAGTAAATTTCTGAATGAAGGAATAAAATTTGATTTTTTTTTTTTTTTTTGCCAGGGCTCTGTTGCCCAGGCTAGAGTCCCGTGGCATCAGCCTAGCTCACAGCAACCTCAAACTTATGGGCTCAAGCAATCCTTCTGCCTCAACCTCCCGAGTAGCTGGGACTACAGGCATGGGCCACCATGCCTGGCTAATTTTTTCTATATATTTTTAGTTGGCCAATTAATTTCTTTCTATTTATGGTAGAGATGGGGTCTCGCTCTTGCTCAGGCTGGTCTTGAACTCCTGACCTTGAGCGATTTTCCTGCCTCGGCCTCCCAGAGTGCTAGGATTACAGGCGTGAGCCGCCGCGCCCGGCCTAAATTTGATTGTCAATATTCGAAATCGTTGCTATGCTGTAGCCACCTCCATCACATGAAACGTCCACGTGTGTTCCTATACACAGCTGGCTGAAGAGCTGCTCGGGCCATCCCAGTCGCCTCCACTTGCAGGTGGAGATGTGCGAAAAGGGGGAAACATTTACACATCTTCATAAAAAAAAATCTTTTAGTAAAGAATTGAAAACCTTTGGTAAGCACGTTAACAGCAGCCCAGGCATGCACCCTACTGGGTGGTAGAATCCTCTAGAGGCAGGTTTTGCTCCTTTCCCCCCAGTCCAGGAATACGCCTTCCTGGCCTGTCTCCACCGTTCCGGAGCTGTGGGGACGTCTGGGCCCTGCCCTGAGACCCTGACTCCGGGGCGCTGCCTGCTCTAGGGCCCAGCCGCAGCAGCAGACTCGCGTAGATTCTGCCGCCCAGCCCACCTGGGGGGCACCGGCTGTGCCCACCTCTTTCCCGTGTGCGGGAGGGTCTCAACATGAGCAGCAGTGCTCCCTCCGCGGATGGCCAGCGAGCTCGCGATGGCGTGCAAACGGAGTCGCCTGCCCGGCAGGCATAGGCCAGCCATGCTACTCACCTGTGTCCCAGCGCCCCCACCCTTCTTTCTTCCATTTCCGCTCTCTAGAGTTCCCCCCACCGCTCCCGTTAAGCCTGGGATAGTGTTGCCAAACTGAACGGGGCCCGTTTGCCCGGGTGCAACAGAAAGCCCCACACCAAAGCCCTGGCTTTTCGTAAAGAGAAAAGTTGATTGCAAGGATGCTGAGCAAGGAGTCAGGAGTCTGGCTCGGATCTGTCTTCTGAGCTGGGGCTGGGGCAGGTTGTATAGGCAGAGAGTGAAGAGGTGTGAACTGATTGGATCTGGTAATGCTGAGAGGCGTGATCTGACTAGATCTTGCCGTGGGGCGCGGCCAGGGCTTGCCAGGGCTCGGCCTGACTGGATCTTGGGTCATGCGGCCCAGCGCCTACTTCTTAATGTGGCCCCCACTTCCTGGGTCTGAGCCATCAGCTTGTGCCCATGGTGGCTTGCGTGGTTCATGTGGGCACGCTCAGGTTATGAAACTTGCAACCTGGGGGCCAGGGTGGCTGAAAACAACTCACCATTTTCACTTGCCTGTTAACAAATGAATAGAACAGATCCCGCTGTCTCTAAGGATGACCACACTTCTATTAAAAATTGACTTTCAGTTTTCAAAATACACAACACCGTCAAACTGAATAACAAGGAGCCCTCGCCCACGGGGTAGGGGATATTTGGTTGTTTTGTTGGAAGTCATTCCGCTTTTGCTTTGGAAATATTGACTTATTATTTTTTGAATAATTATAATACATGCACATGATATAAAACTTAAAAGGAACACATGGGCAAACAGTAAAAAGTAAGTCTCCCCCAAACCCTGTTTCCCAGCACCCCAGGTCCCCTCCCTAGGAACAACCACAATTTCCAGGTAGATCCTTCTTTTCTTTCAGCATATTATGGGGGTATAGATTTTAAGGTTTCAATAAATGCCCTTTTCCCCCCTCCTCCCAAGATCCTTTTTTTTTTTTTTGAGACAGAGTCTCGCTTTGTTGCACAGGCTAGAGTGAGTGCCGTAGCATCAGCCTAGCTCACAGCAACCTCAAACTCCTGGGCTGAAGCAATCCTGCTGCCTCAGCCTCCCGAGTAGCTGGGACTACAGGCATGCGCCACCATGCCCGGCTAATTTTTTTCTATATATATTAGTTGGCCAATTAATTTCTTTCTATATTTATAGTAGAGACGGGGTCTCACTCTTGCTCAGGCTGGTTTTGAACTCCTGACCTCGAGCAATCCACCCCGCCTCGGCCTCCCAGAGTGCTAGGATTACAGGCATGAGCCACTGCCTGTGGAGGGAGGGAGAGAGGGAGGGAGGGAGGAAGGAAGGAAGGAAGGAAGGAAGGAAGGAAGGAAGGAAGGAAGGAAAGGAAGGAAGGAAGGAAGGAAGGAAGGAAGGAAGGAAGGAAGGAAGGAAGGAAGGAAGGAAGGAAGGAAGGAAGGAAGGAAAGAAGGAAGATCAAGGCATCATCTCCATACTCTTAGTACTCTTATTTTCCACTCACTTGTTATATAGGTATAAATTAAACATCTGTGCATGATGTATGCATCTATTCAGAAGAGACCTGGTGACAAAAATCAGTAATGCTTTTAAGCTCCATTTTATTCATCACATCCGCATCCACATACATTTAGGAGACAGCTGTCTGTGGATGATGGAATTGCAAACCCATCGAGCCTGCATAGGGTAGCTCAGACCCTGCTCTGCTATAAACACCGGGCCACCCAGGGCTCCAGACCAGAGTGGACCTTCTGTCTGCCTGTCTGTGTCTGGTTCCCACGTTGTACCTGGATTCCCAGGGCCCCGCCCCTGCGTGCATGTGGGAACTCAGATTACCTAGATGTTGTCATCCTCACGGGCGAACCTTTGCCAGACTAATCATTTGGTATGGATCGTTTATAGCGACGAGGCCAGCATGCTGTACCATATCCTGCTTGAAGAGCTGATGCAACGTGAGAGTGAGTCCATGCCATTTGAAAATCTGTCAGAAGAGGAAAAACGGTTTCTCTCCTATTTCCCCTTGAAGAAGTATCAGCTGGAAAAGAATATCCGAGAACTTAACGCCATTGCAGACCAAGTTGATAGGACCCACAAGAAGCTCACCAAGGCCAACCTGGTGGCCAGCTCTTCAGGGGCTGTTTCTGGAGTCATGAGCATCCTGGGCTTTGCCCTAGCACCCGTGACAGTAGGGGGGAGTCTCATACTCTCAGCAGCTGGGGTGGGGTTGGGGGCAGCAGCTGCCGTCACCAAAGCTTTGACAAATACCTTAGAAAACAGAAGCAATTCAGCAGCAAGAGACAAAGCCAGCAGACTGGTGACTGCTAGGATGACGTTGGAGCATGAGGCTTTCGGAGGAATAAAGTTGCCTGAAGTTGAGGCTGCTGGACGGTGTGTTGCCAAGTGTACACGCGTCATCGAGAGTCTGCGTGCCCACCAGATGGCCAAAGCTAACTCTGGCTTCATGGCTACGGTCAAGAATTTTGCGGCCTCACGCAACATCTCCTTCTGGAAGCCTAGAGATGTGCAGACAATCTTTGTAGGCACGACTCTGGCCGTGACCGAGGGTGCCCAGGTGACGGGTGCGGCTGGGGCCGGCCTCTTTCTTATGCAAGATGTGAGCAAACTTCTGCAGAACTGGAAGCACCTGGAGCAGGGGGCGAGGGCAGAGACAGCCAAGGAACTGAGGACGCTTGCCAAGGAGCAGGAGCGGGAGCTGAGGCAGCTCACCGAGCGCTACCAGGACCTGCAGCAGAAGGCGAGCGAGACCCCGTCCCAGGATTGCGAGCAGGGCTGTTAGAGGAGCCGTGTTGCGGGACCACCAGGTAGGAGGGGCATGAATCCTGCAGAGGCGGTCTCGGTCTTCATCCAGCTCCCCATGGCGGGAGGGGGAATGGCAAACAAATACATAAATGCACAATTATACCTGGCCCTTCTTCAGAGAGAGGGCTTGCCCGACACCCTTGACTTTAGGACTCTCCTGTTCTCAGTATCCCGTTCTCGTCTCTCAAAGTGCTGACCACGAATGTTTGGAATCCCACCTTTGTGTGGGTGCTGGCTGTCTGCCTCTCTGTGGCCTGTGTGCCCCAGCAGGGCCGGGCTGTGTCCCTCTTGTCCAGCCCAGTATTCCCAGCGCCTGGCAGCGTTAGGGTAAGAGACTAGGAGCCGGGCTGAGCCCGGATGCAGGGGCTGGCAGCGTGGGCGCAGGTGCTAAAGGCTAACTGAGGTGGGGGCTGATAACCACAGACAAGGACCCCCTTCGACCAGCTTCTGTCAGCTCTCTAGGTCACCTTACATGAACTCTGGCTAATTATAATATCATTTGCATTGCAGTTTTAAAATTTCTCCACCCTTAAAATCACCATGACAGTTCTGAAGCAACCATATGAAGTATGAAAATGGGAGGGAATCCAATTCTAGGAATTACCACCCAGATTTTTAGGAAAGCCAAGCCCTTAGCTTTGAATATTCCTCCCCTCAATTAGCAAGCCTTCACACGATGAAAACCCGCGTCTCTCTCCCCGTGCAGCTGCCTGTCTGCGGCCCGCTGGCTTGCGCACGCGCGCTCTCACTCGCACGGTCGAGCTTTCAGTACAAGCTGCTTGCTTTTTTGGCTTGCATGGAGCGTCCTGAAATTCTGTTCTTCCCACCATCACCAAGAACCTGAGAAAACCCCCACTTGGCAGATGGTAACATCTCGGTGGTGACTGTGGCAGGACATGGCGCGTAGGCCTTGACTTGGCTGTCACGTGGCACTCGGAGGCAAGCACATTCTGTCTCACGGCCTTCGCAGTCTCCCAGTGAGTGGCAGGTGTGTCACCTCGCTCCATCTTGCTGACTGTGGCTCCCCCTGACCGGGCTGGCAGAGGGTCACTCCTAGGCTGTGCAGATTGAAGCAGTCACCAGGCGCTGGGTGACACCAGCCCGGGGAGCTGGCAGGGGATTTCCCCACACCGTGCAGGAGCCCCAGTGCTCTCTGAGCCGTGGCCATTCCGTGCCCAGCCTCTGCTGCTAGACCTCGTTCTTACTTCTCTGTACCGCTTCCCCACATTTGGGGGCAAGACGCTTGCAACGTAATATGCCCCTGAGTAAGTCAAGCGATGCTCTTATGCTGCTTGCTCTTTTGATGTTAGCCAACCCCCAGCCTCCACACCCACCGCCCCTTTGCTGTTTGTGCCAGATTCCTGTGGAAGGGTCGTAAGGATGGAGAGGGTGACCTGAGAGAAAGGGAATCTGGGCTAGGGTCTTGCCTCATCAGACACTTGATGGAATGCCACAAAGCACGGGTGTGTGGTTAAGCAGGGACTCCCTAGAGAGGGCAGCTCCACGTTTACAGGAGCAAAATGTCATGCATTTGAATGTTACCTAGAGAATAGAAGAAGAGACTTCCAGACACAGAAAGCCCCGCTCCCTTTTACCACCTTGTTGGGGCTAAAATGCTCCATCGGATCTGGGAGGAAGGATGGTGGGATGATCAGAGGTCTTGGAACCTGAGAGATGCCAGTGCTAGAGCGACACACCCCAGCATAGAACCACTAATGATTGGACCCGGCCACACCTCAGACCCCCGGACAGTTCCGCACCCCAGCCCCAGGCTCGCAGACGGCGGGGCAGGGACAGGGCCTACCCTGGGGCCCTGACTGCTGGCGTGAGGAGGTCCTTCCTGCCAGGCAAAGACAAAGGTCTAGGGACACGCAGCCTCCACAGGGTCTCACAGCTAACCATGGACACTGTTGTGATAGGTGACGGGCAGGGGAGAGGCCAGGCACGCGTGTAGCCTCCCCCTCGCCTGTGAGCCCCCTAGCGCTCGACTGTTACCCCAGGAGTCTCCACTGTGACCCCTTCCTTTTTTTCTCTTCCTGTCTTTCAGGTCTTGTCCAGAGAGCCAGAGAAATGGGCAACACTCCTTCCATCCTGCGGGACTCCCGCCTTGGCTATAGTCTCCCAAACTTGGTCTCCTTTAAATTAGACAGCACGAAAAGAAAAACTCATATTCCTATGTAACATATGTAACATTACCTGGCCCCTACCTGCCCCCTCCAGTTGGGGGACAAGGAGGTGTGGCCAGTCAAGGGAAGTCTAAATTATAATGTTATCCTCCAATTATTTGCACGTGACAGAAGAAATGGTCCAAAGTCCCCTATGTCCAGGCATTTATGACCTTACGGGACAGCCTAGAGGCATGAGGAGCTGGCACCTTAGCTCACTGCCGTGTAAACCTAGGACCCCTTGAGGCAGTTCCAGCCTCTGCCCCTGAACCTCCACGTCACCCACCAACACATCCTCGACTACCCAGCCCGAAACCCGCCCTGAACTCCTGCGCTTTGTACAGGAGGCAGCCACGGCCAAGCGGGCACCGCCGGAATACATGTTCCCTTTCCCAAGCCAGGCCTTAAATGGCCAGACAAGACCTGGCTGGTTCTCTGAAGACCCTGGAAAGTTCACCGAGGAGTTTCAGAACCGAACTCTTTCCTTTGATCTCCCCTGGAGAGACCTTAATGTGATTCCGTCCCCTTGCTGCAGCCCAGAGGAGAAAACGCGCACTTGGGCCCAGTCACAAGCTTCCTTAAGTGCTGCCCAGCCTCTCCCATACCCTGTGGGAGTGACAGCTGTCCCCTTCAGGATCCCAACTGGACCCACCGACGGGGACAGCAGGGAGCGAGACTCAGAGGCCACATGCCATGTGCCTCAAAGAGGGGACGAGAAGGTGCAGCATCCAGCCTGTACTCTACGACGGGTGAGAGAGGTGACACAGAGCCCTGGTGAAAACCCAGCCCTTTTTGAGGCTGGACTGTTGCTGCCATCTGCAAATATGTTAATGTGGACCCGGCAACCCCTGGGGGGAGTGTGGCACTGGGGACTAATTTCATCAGTCAGCCAGCCCTGGACATTAGAAGAAAACTCCAGAAATTGGGGCCCCAGACTGCCCTAGCTCTCTTCCGGACGTTGCTTTTGGTGTATTCGACAACCGAGATAAGACGGAGCAGGAGAGGCAGGGGCAGCGTGACCGGAGGCGAGATCAGAGGCAAGCCAATGTTTTGGTGGCCATCACAGATAGGCCCCAGCCACCTCAGGGCCTCCCAAACCAGCCCAGAGGACCATCTTCCCATGAGGGATGTTTCCACTGTGGTAAGAAGGGCCATTAGAGCAAGGAATGCCCCAACCCTCATCCTCTCCCACCAGGCTGTGTCTGCTATGTAAAAGGATGGGGCATTAAAAGAGGAAAAGGGGCCAGCCCCTTCCCCACTGATGACTGTGGCCGACCGCCGGGGCCCAAGGATCCCTGCGGCTCCCACTACCATTGCTGTCACAGGGGAGGAGCCTCAGGTGACCCGTGACATGGCAGGAGAGCCCGTGACTTTTCTAATGACACGGTGGCTACTAATTCTGTCTTAACCTCTCATGCCGGGCCTGTCTCTCCAGAGAAATGCTCAGCTGTTGGGGTGGATGGAGTCCCTGGATATAGGGCTTTCACTCCACCCCTTTCTTGTCAGTGGGGAGACCATCTAGTCACCCACAAGGTCTTCATTATGCTTGATCGCCCTGCTCCGTTATGGGGCAGAGATCTGCTTTTGGCTTTGGGGGCTGCCCTGAGCCTCCCAGAGGACCAGAGCCACTTCTTGACCTCTTTAGGCCACACCACACCTGACTCCAGTCCTGGTACCCCCAGGAGATCCTAGACCAAGAAGACCCCCAAGTCTGGGATAAAGGAATTTCAGGAAAGGTTTACAAGGCAACTCAAAGTCACCTCGAAAAATCCCTCATTTTACTCTCGGAAAAAAAATATCTTCTAAAGAAAGAAGCACAAAGGGGATTTAAGCCCTTGATACAGAAATTTTTAATATATGGGCTGTTAATACCTTGCCCGGCCCCCTGCAGTACTTCCATCTTACCTGTCTTAAAACTTAATAAGAGTACCGCCTAGTCCATGACCTAAGGATCACTGAGGCTGTTGTGCCCATTAGTCCTGTAGTTCTATATTCTATTTTAATTCAAGTTCCAGGAGAATCTAATTGGTTTACTGTCCTGGACCTGAAAGATGCCTTCTTTTGCATCCATCTACATCCAGACTCCCAATTTTTGTTTGCTTTCAAGTGGACACATCCAGATACTGGATCCTCATAGGAGTAAAGCTGGACAATTCTCTCCAAGGCCTTTAAAGATGGTCCTCCCCTCTTTGGAAATGCCCTGGATAAGGAATCAAGAGAGCTGTTGCTTCCACAAGGAGCTATTCTTGACTATGTAGATGAGATTCTTATCTGCAGCCCCACCAAGAATCATCTGATGACAACACTGCCCAGGTTCCTAACTTTTGGGGCAACAGAGGATATAGGTCTCTAAAGCAAAAGCCCTAATGTTCTTACAACAGGTTGAGTACCTGGGATACATTTTAACCCCAGGACAGTGTTTTCCCTGTCCCCAAAAATAAAAGAGTCCATTTTATAACTTGGCTCTCCATAAACCTGAAAACAACTTAGGACATTTTTGGGAATGGCTGGATTTTGCAGAATTTAGATTCCTGGCTTTAGTGTCATGGCAAAACCCCTATATGAAACTTTAAAGGGATTTGACACCAAGCCTTTAAATTGGGGAACAGAACAACAGAAGGCCTTAAAATGTCTCTAACATCTGCCCCTTGGGAATCCCTGACCTAAATAAGCTTTTCATTCTCTTTACCCCAGAAAGACAGGGGATCACTCTGAGTGTGCTCATCCGACCTCTGGGACCTTTGACACATAGCCTACTTCTCTAAGCACTGGACTCAGTGCCATGGGATGGCCTGGATGCTTGAGAACAGTGGTGTCCGTGGCTGTATTGGTCAAAGAGGCTACTAAATTAACCTTGAGGATGTCACTAGAGGTTAAAACTCCCCACCGGGTGCAAGGGGTCATAGAAACAAAAGGTCACCATTGGCTAACAGGAGGATGCCTTACCAAATACCAGGCCTTCCTGCTGGACTCCCCAGAAATCAGTCTCAAGGTGTGCCAAACTTTAAATCTGGTCACTCTGATGCCCATGGGACCCCTCACCAACTTTATACATTCCTATATAAAAACTACAGAAAAGTATATTCTAGCAGACCAGACTTAAAAGACACCCCTTTGGACAACTTGGATGAAGAATAGTATACAGATGGCAGTAGCTTCATGCTAGATGGCATCTGGAAGGCAGGATATGCTACAGGCAGCCTTAATGGTGTTGTGGAAACGGGACCTCCATCCTGCAATACTTCTGCCCAAAAGGCCAAACTGATTGCTCTCATAAGAGCCTTAAAGTTGGAAAAGAAAAAAAAAAAGAAAAAGAAGAATTAACATTTACACAGACTCCAAATACGCCTTCCTCATCCTTCATGCCCATGCTGTTATCTCGAAAAAGTGGGGATTACTAACAACAAACAATTCCCCCATTAAACATCTTTTGAAATCCCGAGTAGCTGTAGGGCACTGCAGAGGCGGTACGGGAAAGTCAGACCCAGCATCTGATACAAGCAACAAACTTGGAACAAACCATCCTCCTGGGGCACCTGCATTTAGGCAAATGCTGTGGGCCTGGCTAGGACCCTTTATAGTCCTCATTATTATCAGTTTTTGTTCTCTTTTCTCTCCTTGTATTATTAAACCTTTAAAATCTCTTGTCCCTCAGGTTGTCCAGACCACCATACCACACATACCCATACAAGGGTACTGTGGAAGAGGGATTGTCCACCTGTCCCTCTTCAAAGAGATAAAGGGAATACCAAAATCCTCTTGATTGGGCAGCTTGTTCCTTCTACCAACAGCCACCTGACTGCCCTGCAGTCCCCGAAGATCCCTCTCACCATAGTAAGGTGCCTTAAAGCCCATGCCCTGACACCCGGCCCCACTAACAGATAGGGAACAAGACATAAGAGACTTTGGTGCCCACCAGCAGGGTCAGCACCCCTTACCAGACAGAAGCAGCTTCAGAAGACAGATCTTCTTTCCTCGGCCTCCCTTGTAAGATTCCAAGGCCCCAAAGCTCTCAAGTGGGGAAATGTTAGCACAGGAGAAGGGCTGAGATCAGATGCAGGGGCGTGCAGAGTGGGTGCAGGTGTTAACGTCTAAGGGGGGGGTGTCGATAACCACAGCCAAGGACCAGCTTCCACTAGCTTTTCAGCTATCTAGGTGACCTTGCATGAACTCTGGCTAATTATAGTATCATTTGCATTGTGATTTTAAAATTTCTCTACCCTTAAAATTGCCATGACGGTTCTCAAGCAACCATATAAAGTATGAAAATGGCAGGGAACCCAATTCTAGGAATTACTACCCAAATTTTTAGTAAGAGCCAACCGCTTAGCTTTGACTATTTCTCCCCTCAAACTAGTAAGACTCCGTAAGACAAGGATCCCTTTTGGTGCAGCCACACTTTTTGAGCCTGCTAGCTCCCTCTCTCTTAAGAGTGTACTTTCGCTTTCGATCTTTCAATAAAAGCTGCTTGCTTTGGCTTACGTGGTATGTCCAGAAATTCTTTTCTTCTGACAATCACCAAGAACCTCAAAGAACCTCCACTTGGAGGATGGGAACAGCAGTGCTTGGCACCTAGCAGGTGTGCTAGAAATAGGTGCTGAATGGCATGAGTGTGGGATTACACGATAAAGATGGCACTTCAAAGGAGTTGGGAAAGGATTTTTATTTGAAAAATAGCTTACATCTCTAGACTCTCCTATTGAGTAATTAAATATCTAGATGTAAAAATTGAAACAAGGAAACTACTACCAGAAAATAAGGCAAAACACAGTTTTCAAATAAGAAAACTCGGGGTAGAGAAACTTCTAGCTGCAATGGTGAAGCCGGCAGCAATAATGGTAGAAGGGAGACCTGCCACAGGGACTCCAGAAACACCTGGGGTGGAAGAGAAATTTGCAAGAGACCAGATTTTCTGTGTGTACAGGTGGGGTTGGAGACCAAGAAGACCTAAATATTCACGTTAAGTAAAACTGAAGCTGAGACACATTCAGGACTCATGTATTTTCCAAATTGTATATAGCTACATAGTACAGTTATAATTAAAATGACAAACATTTTTATTTTAAAATAAACTATCCTCTGCCACTCCTTTCCATCCCCTTCTGCCATTGCCTACGACTCTACCGTCACGCCTGTGCGCCAAGAGTCTGCTGCTCGAGCTAAGATTCAACCTGCATCCCCCAGGGCCCCACGATGAACAGGGAGTGATCTGAGAAAAGCTGTTACTGAAAGAAAATTGGGGACAGGCGTGGTGTCTCACGCCTGAAATCCTAGCACTCTGGGAGGCCCAGGCGGGAGGATCACTCAAGGTCAGGAGTTTGAAACGAGCCTAAGCAAGAGCGAGACCCCATCTCTACTAAAAATAGGAATAAATTAATTGGCCAACTAATATATATAGAAAAAATTAGCTGGGCATGGTGGTGTGTGCCTGTAGTCTCAGCTACTCGGGAGGCTGAGGCAGGAGGATCGCTTGAGCCCAGGAATTTGAGGTTGCTGTGAGCTAGGCTGACACCATGGCACTCACTCTAGCCTGGGCAATGAATGTAGTTTTAAATAGGATAATCAGGGCAAACCTCTCTCAGAGGCTTATATTTGAGCAAAGCAGGAGGGTGTCTGGGAGAAGAGCATTCCAGACAAAGGGAGCAGCAGGGGTGACACATGCGTGGTGTGTCCAGGGAGCTGGGGTCGGGGCGGGTGCCGGGAGCAGAGTGAGGCTGGGGTCGGCGAAGGGGACTGGGACGAAGCCAGAGGGGGAGCGGGAGGTGAAGAGGCCTGATGCGCCGCAGTAAGGAGTTGGGCTTTCCCCCCAGGTGAGCAAGCAGAGCAGTGGCATGACTCAGAAATCACTCCGGCTGTGGCAGGGCGAGAGGCAGGGGCAAGGCTATCACAGGGACACCAGTTAGCAGGTTGCTGAAACCACCCTTGGGAGGGAGCACAGTGGCTTGAACCAGTGTGGTGGCAAGAAAGGTGGTGAGAAGTGTCAGCTACTGGCCACATTCTGAAGGCTGAACGCACAGCATCGCTCATGGACGCGTTGTGGAGTGAGGGGGGAAGAGGAGCCAGGATAACACCAAGGTTTTAGCCTCAGCAATGGCCTGATGGGGTATGCGGGGCCTGAAAGGGTCGGATGGGGCAAGACGGAGGAGCGCAGCGTGGACACACTGGGTTTGAGATGCTCGGTAGACACACGCAGGCGGTGGCCTATATGTGTCCGGATTCAAGATGTGGGGTCTCCAATAACAAATTGGCGGGAGGTACAAATCGGTAAGTAGACGGTATGTAAGACGACAAGAGTGGATACGATTATCAAAAGAGTGAGCAAGGTACAGATGTCCAAGCTCAGCACCTGGGCAGCCCAGGCTGCAAACGTGGGGCGACGTGGAGGAACCATGAAAGGAGACGGAGAAGGAGCAGCCACTGCGGTTGGAGGGGAGCCGCAGGGGGTGTCCAGGAAATGCAGTGAAGAAAGCCACAAAGGAAAGAAGGGATAAACAGGATCAGATGCTGCCAACAGGTCCAGGACAAGGAGACCCGAGAGCTGATCCAATTTGGTGACATGGAGACCACCGGCGGCCTGGAGAAGGGCAGTATGGTGAAGTGGCTGAGGACAAAAAGCTTGGATGGAGAAGGTTTTAAAGGAGGAGGAAAGAAAGTGGAGACTGAGTACTGCCAACGCTTTTGAGTTTTGCTAGAAAGTCTTCCAGAAAAATAGGACAGCAGCTGGAGAGGAAGCGAGGTCAAGAAAGGAAAGCAAGTTCTCTAAGATGTTAGAGACGCTAGCGTGGTTCTACACCAGCGGGGACGATCCAGTGATGAAGAGGTGGCAGAGGAAATGCCCAGGGACTGTGCTCTACTCTCTCAGCTCCTGCTGCCCGTGCCGGACTGCAGCCTGTGCTGGAAGCCGTTCTCTAGGCTTTACGCACCTGGCTGCACCTCTGGGTCAACTCTGCCCTGTTTCCCCACACCCTCTGCAACATGGTTTAGAGCTACATGGAGAGAAAAGCAACTTAGCAATACAACCTGATACATGACATTCTATAGGTAAGGCCTCATTTTTGCCATATGCTTTAAAAGAGTACAGTCCTGGGGAATCTTCTCTATTTCCTACCAGCCATAAGATTCATTTCAACCTTCCAACCTGCAGATTCCTTGTTCATGTCCAGAAACTCCAATTCCTGTCCTCAAAAAGGGAAAAAAAATAGTCACTGAAAATTGTGCCTTAGGAACTCTGCTAAGTGCATTGCCAACTTGATTGAACAATAAATGGCGAATCGTTACTGAATACTTAGCACTTTCTAGACACTGTGCTAAGTACTCTACTTATTTTATCTTTGCACCACACTGCTACAGGAGGAACGGTTATTACCTGCATTTTGTAGATGAGGAATCTAAGGAACAGAGAGGTTAAGTAAATTGTTCAGGGTCATCCACCCAGCAGGTGGCAGACCAGTCAGAATCTTCCAACTCTTGAATCCTTGCTATTGACCACTGCTCCACACAGCCTTGGTTAATCATCACAGTCATGCCTTCAGGTACAGGCTGATCACTTTCCCAATTTTGCAAATTGGGAAATGGGAGCTCCAGGAGGCCAAGTAACTTTCCTGAGGTCATACCACTGAAGAATGGTAGGGGGAATTCATACATGTCTGTGCATGTAGGCCTAAGGCAGAAATTTTAAGTTTGAATGAGCCAATTCTGGCAACACTTACTTTTAAAATTATTTGGAGATTAGTATTTTTCACACATGCACATCAAAATTAGTAGTTGCATTCAGCCTGTACTTGGCAGGGATTTTTCACAAGCATTCATCTAAACTCTTCCAGAGATTTTTGGGGCCTTGTGAATTGTCTAAGGCAAGGGTTAGCAAATTATAGCCCAGGGGCCAAATCTGGCCCACCACCTTTTTTTTTTTTTTTTTTTTTTTTTGAGACAGAGTCTCTCACTCTGTTGCCTGGGCTAGAGTGCCATAGCTCATAGCAACCTCAAAATCCTGGGCTCAAATGATCCTCCTGCCTCAGCCTTCTGAGTAGCTAGGACTACAGGCATGTGCCAGCTAATTTTTTCTATTTTTAGTTGTTTCTATTTATAGTAGAGACAGGGTCTCGCTCTTGCTCAGGCTGGTCTCAAACTCCTGAACTCAAGCAATCCTCCCACCTCAGACTCCCAGAGTGCTAGGATTACAGGCATGAGCCACTGCCCCCGGCATGCTACCTGTTTTTATAAATAAAGTTTTATTGAAACATGGCCACATCCTTCATATAGATTTTATCTATGGTTGCTTTTGTGCTACAATGCAGGGTTGAGAAGCTGTGACAGAGACCATATGGCCTACAAAACCTAAAATATTTACTATCTGGTGCTTTACAGAAAAAAGTCTGTTGACCACTGTCCTAAAGGTTTCAAGAGAAGCAACTTCTGAGTATCTAGACTTCTGGCTTCAGAAACAGGAAATTGCCATCTGTGAACTGGGAGGTCAATTTCAAGGCCCACAGGGTGATGGGGAAGCAGTAACTGTGAGAGCACTTTTCGCACTTGCCGCCTTCGGGTGGCAGGGCCAGACAGCCCCGCAAGCAAGCGCACGGGAAAGGCTGGGAGTGTGGAGAGGCCAGTGCTGGGCAGCCTTCCCTGCCGCTGCCCACGGGGCTCGCTGCTCCTCTCTCCCCCTCCCACAGCCCCGTCCTCCCTGCCTTCCTCCTCAGCTCACCGAGGGCTCCAGATGGACAGTCGGGGCCCTCTGCCACTTTCTGCCCACGTGAAACTGGGCGAGGCTCCTGGCATCACCACATCTTGCCTTTCTCACCTGTAAAACACGTGAGGAGCTCTTGCATGTTGTGAAAGTTCAACGAGATCCCAGGTGTGGAGGCGCGACGCCATCCCTGGGAGGTGACAGAATGCTCAGCCGAAGCAGAAGACACAACATGGCATTTACTGAATGCCCTCGAGGAGAAGCGCCCTAGGGCAGGAACCCCAAGCTGGCACAAAAGACCCCGAACTTGAAGAACTTAACCATCCTTCTGGAAAGACCATTCTGTCCCCCTGTTTTTTTCTATTAAGCAAAAATTTCAAACACCAGCAAGGCAAAATTGGGAAAACAAGAGGCCCCTCAGGTCCCACCCTGTGAATAACTGGCTGTGTGGCCTTGTGATTAGCCTCTCTGGGCCCATTGCTCCTATTGGTCAAATGGAGGCCTGGACTATTTGAATGTCAAGGCTTGAACAGACCAACACAGCCCCTTGACTTTGAGGACAGATGAAGAGGATAAGCACTGGGTCAGGAGGTAGAGGACCTCACTTAGCGAAGAGAGGTATGGAGCCCCAGTGACCACCGGGAGCCGGCTCTGAGCAAGGCCTAGAGATCTGACACCAGCAAAGCTGTTCAGGTTGTTGTCTGGGTTTGAGTCTAGGCCTCACCACTTCCTCACTACATGGCTTAGCCCTGTGACCTCTCTGTGCCTCAGTTTCCTGAGTAAACAAGAGGCTTATGATTCAGCAGGGAAGAAGGAACTGAACAATTACAATCGGGCAGTTCAGGGGATGTCGAGGAATTAAGGCTCAGAACCTAGGTCATTGTGCTGTCATTGGAGTCTGGGACAGTTGCCCAGGGTACTTGGCTCACCCCTGTGGACCACATTTTTAACAATGATAATGATTAAACCATTTATTGAACAAATACTATGTGCCATATGTTTCTAAGCATTTTATACATATTAACTTTTTAAGTCCTTACACCAATCCTATAAAGTAGGGGCTACTAATAACCCCACTTTACAGATGAAAACACTGAGGCATGCTAAGCAACTTGTGCAATGTCATATATCCAGGGAGTGGCAGAGCCAGATTTCAAATCTAGAGTGCCTGTCTCCAGAGCCCACGTTTTAAAATCCTAAACAGATACTGCTTTCTCAGAGCAGAGGGCAGACCATCTTGAAGGAGACTGAGACACTTTCTCAGGCACATCCTGAGAAGCTCACAGCTCCGCCTTTCATGGAGTGAGCAAATCTATGGTAACGTTGGTATGTGGTAAAGACTACAGGGCCTCTGCTCAGATCAGTCCTGGTGCCCTTGGCAGGCCTGGCAGCCCCTACACACACTGAGGGACACCTGGTGGCTCCACGGCCACAGGGCTGAACAAAACAAAGTACTGGCCTCAAGGAATTCAGAATAACACTGCACAAAGCCAAGTAAGATAAGAACAAAATCATGCTGCAGAGAACTCAGAGGCAAGCGAGATGGTGGAGGTGGGGGGCTGGGGTATGGAGGAAATGTTCACAAAGAAATGGCCTTGAGGGAAAATGAGGTGGAAGGAAAGGCTGC